ATAGAGAACAATGTCTGGAAAGAAACCAAAATGCAAATAATTGATTTGCTACTGTGGTGGGATTTGAAAGACGAAGTCCCCAAATTCCACCATCTTTGATAATTTCCATCCTTGCTAAATGTCCTTTATGCAAAAACAAAAACATTATCTATATGAAAACCCACACACTGCAGAAGTGTTGTGAGAATTAGAAGAAATGGAGGTAAACCAGTGCTCTATAAATGGCAGCCTACAATAGAAAAGAGTGAATTCATGTTTTTTTGACTGGAAATGGCAAAGGAAATATTGCAAATGAATTGCATTTCAAAGTAGAACCTTCTGTTTAGGTGAACAGACTTGAAGGGAGTAGCCTAATGAATATTCTGATTCAGAGACTATACTGATGAACATATCACACATGAATCAGTAATTTTCAAACCTGTAGAATAAACACTTTACAGCCTCAAATATATCTGATCCCAGGGCAGAGGTGCACCCTCCATCTGACAGATACCCCGGCCTGTTGACACCCGGAGAAGACCCTGAGCCTTAAGAAGGTGTGGGCTCCAACTGCTGGCCCATGGCCTCTGTCCGCCTGCAACCCCTTCCGTTCATTATCACCCTCTCAGAGGCCATGCAGGCCAAGTCTGTGTCACCATTGTTAGCATAGTTATGATAATAATGGCCGTGTGCGTTTCCTATCATGGCTGTAACAAATTACCACAAACTTAGTGGCTGAAAACAAACTTATTATCTTATAGTTCAGGAGGTCAGAAGTCCAAAATGGGTGGCACTAGGCCAAAGTCAAGGTGCTGGCAAGGCTGCGTTCCTTGTGGAGGCTCTGGGGAGAGTCGTTCCCTTGCCTTTTCTAGCTCCTACAGGTGCCTGCATTCCTTGGCTAGTAGCCTCTTTCTCTGTCTTCAAAGTCAATAGCATTTCATCTTCAAATCTTTGACTCTCCTCATCTCATTACAAGGACACTTTGCGATTCGGTGGGGCTCCCCTGGATAATCCAGGCTCTCCCCAAGCCGAGGGCAGCTGATCAGCAAACTTAATCCCCCCTTGCCGTGTAGGATGACATAGTCACAGGTTCCTAAGATTCGGACATGGACCTCTGTGGGGGTGGGGGACATTATTCTCTCTCCCACAATGGCTCACATTTCTTGAGCACTTATTATGTGGCTGGTACAGTTCTAAGCATGTTACTTGTAATGATGCATTTAAATATCACCACAACCCTATAAGGTAGGTACTTATTTTACAGATGAGGAAAGTGAGGGAAGCAAAGTCACTTGCCCAAGGTCACCCAGCTAGTAAGAGGCAGGCTGAGCTACAGACCAGGAGTCCAGCCTCAGAGCCCATGCTCTTAGCTACAATCACTGCTCAGGAATCTGAGGACAGAGGTACAAACTGAATTCTACCTAATTTAATCCCTATTTGATCAGCCAGAAGCCCCTTCAGGATGTGACAGGGCCTCAGGTCCATCAATACCGGCTGCCACATGCCACCAGTCAGGCAACTCTGGAGAAGCTGGGATGTGTGGTGGGCAATTGTGATTCTAAAACCCATCCTCCTCACTGGGACCCGCAAGGTATCTGGTCTCAGCTGCTTCTCTTTCTTTCTACTCTAGACATGCTAGCTTTGCAGACATTACTCAAAAAGGCTGAGCCAATGTCCACCGCAGGACATTTGCACTTGCTCTCTCCTTGACTGGGAATCTCTTCCCAACCTACACAAAACTCAACCATCATTTCAAACAGGTCTCTGCCCAAGGATCACCTCTTTAAAGAGGAGCCCAGTAGAGCTATATACCCACCCTGATGAGAGACATCTTTCTCTTCCCTTGCCAATATTTTGGTGGGCAGAAGGCATTAAAGTTCCCTTCTCCTTGCAGCCATTCCCTCTGCAGAGAGGGCATCAAGCGACTTTTTCTAGTTGTCTCTCTCCCACCCCACAGCTGTATGAAGTAAAATTACTGCTTTCTAGAA